GCATGTGCACCCTGTGCTCCCCCCTGGTTACAGCCCTGGGTTGTAAATTATATTAAGTTTTTTTATGTATTAGATACCAAGACAAGGCACCTGTTGTTTGATCTCACATACTAATGTTTCTACTTCTCTGTAGTCCATTTACCCTTTGAATGGTTTACAGTCAATTCGCCCACGGACCAACTCACCCACGCCAAGTCGCCCACGCATAAAATCATCGTTCATACGTTTGCCAACTCGCCCACGCCAATTCGCCCAYGTTTAGAATCACTTTAAGAGCCGTTGTCTGAGAAAACTGGGCAGGGTCAACGGATGGAGGTCGGCCGATTTCCATAATATTTACAGCATGTGATACCTTTACTGTATGTTTTGTGAGTTATGCCGTATAAAAAGTCCACGCTTTGAAGTCTTGAGCTTAAGATTCAAGTAAGGTAAATCACCAACTACTTTAATTTAGTTTTAACATATGGTAACATATTTCTAAAAGTGATGCTAAATGTGGGCGAATTGACTTGGGCGAGTTGGCAAACGCATGATCGATGGTTTTATGTGTGGGCGACTTGGCGTGGGCGAGTTGGTTTGTGGGCCAATTGACTGGTTACCCTTTGAATGGAGTGGTGATGGAGTGAGGAGATAAGATGAACACCATCAACATCCTAGCTGCAGGCACACTTTTATGAATATATATGTATATATACATACACCTATTTCAAAAAAACTTTGTCTGTCGGAGATGTGAAATCTGAAATTTGGGACCAAGTAGCACACTGCAAATTGTAATATATTCRCAGACCAACCACATAGTTTCCTTTTAGAAATGTGATTTTTCTTATTTTAGCCAGAAAACACTAAATCACAAAAATGTCTCATATCGTCATTTCAGATCTCCGACCAACAACATTTTTTGAAACAGGTGTATATAGTTCAAGTTCAATGTAAATCAAGTATCATGTCTACCTTAATCATTGAGATGGCCAGTACATCAGGCTTGATATTTCCTTTTAACTTTAAACAAGTCTTCTTCAAGAACTGGAAAAGAAAGTCAACCTAAATATTGCTGGTTTTAAATCATTTCTATGGGAGTAAAATACAGTACCAAAGGAGGGGGRTGTAAGGGTTGGCTGTGATACAGTATTGCCTTTTTTATGCAGTTTTGCAGTAATTCTTATTTAAACCTGTTATATTGTGGTTTTACAAGAAGCCGCAATTCCAACATTGTTTGTATTCACTTAATTACTAAAACAATTAGAAATCTTGCCCTGGGCTGTGGGTCTAATTACTAATTAATATACGACTGTTAGGTACTTACCATAGGTGGCAAATTAAACACTAAAATGTCTGCATCTTTAACAGAATCCACCAAATCTGGATTAGCAATCTGGAAGCAGAGACACACAGGTATTGAGTTAGAGTGTCTTCCATATGTGACTGTATGTAAACTCTTTTGCTTTCCCAAATCTAATCCTTATCTGGGTTTCAGATCTCCTTACATGGAGATCATTATTACTGATATTAAACCTATTCTCTAGTGCAGGTATTATATTTTCAGTGTATTATTTCCTTATTGGTCCAGGCAATGCTTGAGAATACTCCCTTTTTGAGTTCGCCTTTGCTCAGTCTTAGCCTGGATTGTGTACAAATGTGTTCAATTTCCTTTTATTAAGGTTCATATTATAGAAAAAAATGTAGGTACTAATGGAGCAATACGAGCTGATTTAAATGCCACTGATTTGATTGAATAGCTAAATATTATAACTCACAACCGAGAGTAAGGCGTAAACAAATGGGACCCTGAAACTGGAGAATATACGAGGATGAGGACATCTCCGAGATGATCTTGTAGACTGCATAGCAGTACATTGGGATCCCCCACCCCAATGTGCTCAGCTACACAGRCTATGACTCCAACAACCTGTATGATAGTTAACAGGAATAATTAGAAAGTCTCAGTTACTCTAAGCTCATGTGAGGTTTGAAAGCTGTTAGCAACAAGAAGGAGGACGATAGGACACCAATAATTTATTATAACATAGCCATGATATAACTTGGTTGGTTAATTAGCGTGAGCGAGCTTGCATCCAGAAATTGATAGTGCACACTGACATGATTAAGTATCGTGCATTTAATGAATCTATTTAATGAAGATTTCATTAGAACAATTTTTTTTTTTGATTAACAAATATTTTTTCCAGTTTTACTATGGTATGTTATAAAAGCAATGGTCAATGCTTAATTGTGCATATATCCAGTTCTAGATGCACTTGGGAGGTTGTTTATACACTCAAGAAGCTAGAGTTGCACTTGGCTAYGCCTTGTGTGATTCTTACTCTTCTTTCTTTCTTATAAACCTCCAGCATACACCTAGAACATGATATACGCACACTAAGCATYGACTATTCCTTAACAACAACATAAAGAAAAATTCACAAGATTTTCTTTTGGTACCTAAAGAGGTGTCAATGCTTTGGGGGTGGGGGTTGGGTCGGTGGACCACCTCCTCCTATTCTACATGTAAGTGCCAGAAATAAAACATGAAGTTAATAGATTTCCCACAATCCTCTTACAATAGATTTCCCACATTAATTTGCATCGTATAAATTACAGCCAATCCTGTAGTTGCACATATTCATTCTCATGAYATCAAGATTGCGCATAACCCGCACACCCAACCCTGCGCACGGGTATACTGCTGTCCACAAGTCATTTTTTTCAGCTACATGTACTTCATACTCCATATCTCATATTGTCATGTGCATTTGTAGGCACTGTATAGTACTACCTTTGGAGTAGAAAGTCAAAATCAGATTTTAAAATCTTACCACATTTTCTGGGATGACATAACCCGGCAAGTTCTTCACATTCACGTGTTCTGTATTTATGATATCTGATAACCTTCTTCCATCCTCGTGCACAGATTCGTACACATACATTTGCACTTCGTCTTGAAACAAGTTTGGCTTTCTCGTCACGTTGCTGCCGATTATTCTCGCCATTGTTGTACCCCTTAGTGAAGCAAAGAAGCACAGTAAGAAAGGGTAATCTCAGCTGCTTGTATCTTGTAGTAAGACTTACCAATTGCCAGACCCGATGACAGCAACCTTCTTTGCCGAATTGTGAAAGCATCTTGGATTTCGTGATATCTTTCGCAAAGCACCTGCTAACCCTTTCAAATGAACTCTCATCATCTTCTCTGTATATTTTTCATTCGTTTTTGAGGGAAGAAACCTTCCATTACACAGTACCGGCTGACTGATGTTTGCCAGCAGATGGAGCCGCCATCTTGACTGCGCTTTTTACTTCCTACTGGGTTTCCTGTGGTTACTAGAGAGAATAAAGTTCCAAAGGAAGCCCATAACGGGGTTGTAGAGTGCTTACAGAGTCTTGCATACAACTTTTGGGACTTATATATATGGACTTATGTATAATTTACCTTTTTATCATTACTATAATAAGATAGGTATCCCTATACACTTCATCAAGGTCTTTATCATTTAAAAGGCATGACCCCCACTTAGGGTGGGGATGGGTAGGGTATGTCCCTACCCAACTTTTTTTTCAGATCACTTTGGGTGTTTGGAAATCTAGTGAAACACTCTTTCACATGATATATTACTTCATCAATGAAAACCCTTGTGTTCTCCTCCTCTTTAACATGGCTAACCATACACTGGCCAATCCTATGATGGCTCTGTTTTTATTTTTTATTTGGGGTGGGGCCTCTGGCTTGGGCAAATTGGCAAACGCAATATCGATGATTTTATGTGTGGCCGACTTGGCGTGGCCGAGTTGGTTCATGGGCGAATTGACTGGTTACATGCCTGTCGTCCAAAACAATGCAGAGCAGCTAACCAGCATCTCAACCACCATTCATCTATATATTGATCTAGCATTAAAAACAACACAGAACTTTACACTGAACATTTTTTGTTACCATTCTAAATTTACATTTTTTTCAACAAATTCAAAATGTCATTTTCAAGTCATAAAAATATATCCTTCAAATGACATACATTACCAGGAACTAGATGGTACATGCATCACTCATTAAAACTAGATCACTGTAAAATAAGGTTTGTAATTCTAGTTTGGGTATAAACAGCAACATATTGTTTGTTAATCTCAGACAAAAACCTTTTAAGGTTAACCTAACGAATGAGAAATAATTTCAGTATTGATTCATCAAATATACATAAGCATAATTGTGTAAACCATGAGTAAAATGATGCTTTTTAAAAATGTTTTGCTTAGTCAAAAGTTTAAACCATTATAACTTGAAGATGTAACACTCAACTGATTGAAAAATATTTCACAATTCAACTATTTACTTATTATACAGAATCAATATTAAAAGTATAATATTAGTCATTATTAATTGCTTCTTTCTAAAATATTTTTAGATATCAATGCGTAATAACACTTAATAGCAGTTAATACTGATAATGCATATGATAATTAGTAAAAATCGAATAAATAGGAGTCTTACAAATCTTACATATTTTTCATACAAAATTGTTTGTTTTTTCTTAATGTAACCGGCGGCAAGGCGCTCAGCTATGAATCAGATTGCAAGTGGTTTTGACAAAAGAATTTATTGAAAAATTCACACAACTTTACAATACACGGGAAAAAAACGGGAACGAGATTACAGGATATCTCTTTACATCGTAGAGAATTCCTTGTCTTGATATGTGCAACGTCTTCAAGAACTTTTACTACACTGATTTAAGCTTAGTTTGGGCCTACTTTTATGGGAAAACCTGCATTCTTAAGACCTTACACATCCTACGCAATGTTGCACGTCCTAGGCGCAAACAGGATGTCCCAAACACGAACTTACGTAAACAAGCGCCAAACCTAGGCATGACTCACTGTAATGTAATTACGTACGGAAATTATTTCTTGCTTACGCATTTTCCACGCAAACAGTTAACTAAAGAATTACATTCCTATGTGTACACGAGGCATTCCTAATTAAAAATATAGATTTATGACTAAATAATTACTGTCCAAAATAGTGTCTTTTGACTCTGTCACATTAATATTGTGCAAATAACATAAAACAATAATCATTATAACAACATCCAGGCATATAGAATACTTGTGTAACCTTAAAATAAATGTTCCTCCTTTTCTCTCCCCCTCTGGCATATTTATATATGGCTGTGCTGCCATTATATGATAGTGCAAGCCTGTTCTACATTCCTAATGTTGGTTCTCAGGATATCAATTTCACACAATTCTTTTGGGAATATGAATGGTGTAGCTTGGTCCTTTTACTAACAAAAAATTGACCTAGAAGTGTGTCATTAACACCTCCATCATCTCCGATGGTGTGTGTCCCTCAAAACACACATTGTAAATGGCTGTGAACAAAGGATAACTGAAAAAAGTAAAGAAGAAAGTCATAAATAAATAAATTTTAACTGTGAGCCATGTTACATAAGACCAATAAAGGCAATGTGGTGCRAGAAATCATCCTTGAATTTGTCTCTTGCAACACCACCTTAATGTTCAGCCAAAAATGAAGTAGATAAATCATATCATTTTTTATGTAAAAAGATATAACTAGCTAAAAACTAGTGTGAGCTGCATCGGTGTTTCTAATGAAACAGTAATGATGAAAAGGTAAATTATACACCGTGAAAAGATGAAAAAACTTACTGACGTTTCGGACGCTAGTCCTTCGTCAGAGTATACTTACTCATTTGTTAGATTATTTTCTTTCAAGACTTGGTAGACTTCATATGCTGTGTGTGGTCCTTGCAATTTTTGGCCACCAAGAATTTCTTGTTCCACTTGATCAAATGACTTTGAAAAATACAAACAGAATGAAAGAATGTATGTACAGATGGAATCAATAATGATGGAACAAACTGATAGATGGATATATATGGTGTCGATGGATGAAATGGATGGAGGAATGCATGTGAGGTAGTGGATGGATGAATTGATAGATGACAAGATCCATAATGAATAAAAAAGAGTTTAACTTATAATTTTTAAGTGCTCTCTCTCTACCTTCTTGGATTTAACAAACTCTTCTCCAGCTCGGCGATTTCTACCAGCATAGCATGTCGTAATAAGATCTGCCACACCACAAGATTCATAAAATGTCTCTACTCTGACTCCTTCATAAAAACGATTCGCAAAATCTATCATCTCCTTAAGGCCAATTCTGATAATGGCAGCTTTGGTGTTGTCTCCATATCTTAAAATTAAAACCCAGAGAAGTTCAGTAAATGATTGATCATGTTAAATGGATGAATATAACAAAAACAACACATACCCTAAGGCATCAACCATACCAGCACCCAAGGCCACAGCGTTCTGTATGGGTGCAAATAAGAGAATTTAAGACACATGTTGGAAAAGTGTCTGACTAACATGAAGTTTTGAATTAAGCTATAGCAGTCTTCACCAGAATAATAATATCTTTATTTACCCTGATTTTWAAAAAAACGATCAGCTGGACACAATAGAACAGCTGGTATGAACCGGTGATCAGCAATATAAAATCTATAAAAATCTAAATAAAATCTATACTAAAATCTGCGATTGAGAACCATTAAAGTATAAATATAAGAAAAGAGAAAATAAAGTATAATATATACATATATACACAGAAACACGAAAACCCCGCATCCACAAAACATATATATCCATTGTATATACAAGAGCTCGAAAAAGAAAAGAATAATAATAGAATATTATTTCATTCCTAGCCTAGCAACATACTACCAATAACCTACTTTCAATCATTGATACCATGAAACAACTACTGGGTTTACATCAAGGTATGGCTAACTAACAGTTCAAATTGGAATTCTTGGCTTGTTACAGAAAGAGAAATAAAAGCCTGGTAAAATATCCTCAAATTAAGAAAGAGACATAGCAAACTCAACTTGCATTATAATGCTGAGTACGGACATCAAATTGGAGACCCCAAGAGTGAGAGAGGCAAGTGTAGGTTTTCCAGGGCACAAACCTATCAACAACCTTGTATCATTAGCTGACAATTTTACACCTATATTTATTACTAATTGCATACCTTGAGAGCACCACAGAGTTCTACAGTATCAGCATCCTCCACTACCTTTACTTTAAAGTACCGGGTATGAAAGAGGTCTATGAGAACTTGGGCGTGATCCATATTACGACAACCTGTAAAACATCAAGTTAAAATCATGAAGATATAGAGATATAGAAAAGTTATAGTGCTTGGGAATGAGGTTATTCCGGGCGAAAGACCCTTGGAATTAAATTCAGAAAAATTAATTTCCGACCTCGCTGGGAATCGAACCCACAACCTTCGGAATTGTACTACCAATGCTCTACCAGCTGAGCATATTCTCAAGTTAAAATCAATTAATTTTTAGGGTATTTCTTAACCTACACTGTGTACCATATACTGATACAGTATGATCAAGTTTACTGAGAAAATGATCAAAATTGACATTATCATGGAGGATTATGGCAAAGTGTAATTACAGTAACAATGCATACAATATGTGAAAAATTTTGCCTTTAAAGAATTAATCTAATTGGACGTTTTAAATTTCCAATCAGATTAATGGTATTTTTGAAGGGCAAAACGTTTCACGTAGAGTGTAATCATGAACACAATTTATTTGAATGCATACAATAAATGAGAAAACAAACAAGATAAAGAAACAGACAAAATGTCAAACAAACAAACAAAAATACAAACAAATATTAAAAACAAATTACCAATAGTGGCTTCACCAAACAGCTCTTTAGCTACTTCTCCAGCAAGGTTGGCACCCATTAACACGCTGACTTCAGAAAGATCAAGAGCATCTTTAATGACATTGGATACCAAGTTGAGCCCTGTCTTTGTGTGATCTAAACCCTAATTATCAAAACAAATGGAATGAGTCAGGAAAATAATAAAAACACAGTATGTAATATGACACCTAATAAATGTACCACCAGAGAGGGCAATGCAATTATTAAAACGAATGGAATGAATCAGGAAAATAATAAAAAACAGTATGTAAAGTGCTATTTGATACTCTTTGGTGGATAAGGCAGTTGATAAGGCAGTTGATAAGGCATCTGATAGATCGAAATTAAATTTTAGAAGTTTGTTTTTGTGTAGGGAGAAAAAAAGCAGAGAACCCAGCCCGGAGGAAAAACCCTTGAAGCACAGGAGAGAACCAGCAATTAACTCTAATCACATACAATGCCAAGCCCACCAGGGCTCCACCCCAGGTTGCCTTGGTGAGAGRTGGCACATTAGCAGCACATGCTACTATGAATTAGCCAGGAAAATAAAAACATAGTATGTAATATGCTATTAATTAAACACACTTAATAAATGTACCACAAGAAAGGGAGGTAGCCATCGGAGCAAATGGTTCAGTTTCAAATTTAAAAAAACCTTCTAAATCATTCTTTAAAATAAATCACAGATTGAATTAAAATTCAACTTCTTAGGTTTTGCAGAGGTACACTGGAGGAAAATCCTGAAATCAAGGGAGACACCCAACAAACTCTAATCACATTGGATCCCAAGTCCAAGAATCAAACCGGAGGGAAATGGCCCCAAAAATAATAAGTAAGTGCAGTACTCAGCTACAACACCCTTGAAATACATTTTAACGAGTGGAATTTCTTATAGCTTGTTTTCATCTTTTTTTATAAACAGCATGATGACCGGCCAAATTAGTTTTATCTTGGTCATTCCTCATTTTTGGCTCAATGTTACTGGTCAAAATGAGCCGCATAGCAAAGATTTGATCACACAAGTACAGTACCAATTCTGGACGAACATTATTCAATGACCAGCTGTTAATTAATACCTGTGATCTTGAATTACATATGGCCATCTGACAAGTTGTTTTTGATCAAGGATTTTGTTAACACTTACAAATTTAATCACCGGCAAAAACAATTATAATAATGTACAATGTACAGGTGAACTAGATGCAGAATTTAGAAAGATAATCATTTAATCCACCAATTCAGGCAATTCAATTTTTGCCAACTTTTGAAACTGTCAGAATAGAATTCTGGTCTAAAATCTTGAGATTATGATCATTTTAAGTTTCAAACAGATGTCTGTCAACTTTTGTTCATGGATTTTGTTAGCAATTCTCAAATGAAACACTTAGTGCCATGTGTAGATAATATATGATCGTAAGAATAGCAATTAATATGATGTACTGTAGATAACAAATATCAGTAACAATATGCAGGGATAATGATGACAAAATTCATTATTTATTTCATTTTTTAACCATTTCTGGTAGACAAATTATACTCTGTGAAGTCATCAATGAGATTGGAGTCTGGAAATATCAGGATTGATTTTGTTGGTAAGTCCAATTTTCCTAAATCGTTCTGTTTTCATTGATCATTTGAAACTGACCTAAAAGTTAAGATAAACTTGATTAAAGCTTGATTACTCCTTTAATTTTTAGGTCCTTAATAATTTATAACTTCTTTAGATATATTACCACTGTTTTCATTGCTACACCCTGATCGAGGTAACAGTCGCAACTTAGGAAATACACAAACAAATAAATGATTAAAGTACATATAGCATAAAAGAAACTGTGAGAAACTACTCCACGATTTGATTGAGGGTAGTGTGTCGCCCATTTTCCTTGTCATGACTATTGTTTGATCAGGGCTAAGCAATGAAAACACTGGAAATCATAGGGCATTTAGAAAAAAAACAGATGTTTGGAAGCAGGGGTGGCATTTAAGAGGTGAGAGAGGTGCTCATCAGTTAAGCAACCCAGGTTTGATTTCCAAACTTGGTGTCATATGTGATTAGATTTTTAGGTGGTTCTCTCCATTGCTTTCAAAGGTTTGAAGGTTTTTCTCTTGGTTCCCAAGTTTTCCTCCCTCTACAAAGATCAACTTCTAAATTCCAATTCAATCATGGAATGAGAGCCATCGGTTTGTGGGAGGAATGAGGGAGAGAAATAGGGACAGCAGAAGTTTGTTATCCTTTTGAGAACCCAAATAAGAAGATTCTTAGCTATTAATTCAATTAAGAAACATTATGACAATAAATTATTAAAAGTGTACAAAGTAAAAGCTAAAAAAATATTTAAAAAAAAAAGACAATATTTAATGTTTTTGACATTTCTGTTGACATTAAATTAAATTTTAATCCTTCATTAAATACCACACCCTTGTTTTGTTAATGTCTCCTCCATGAAATCCCTTTTTTAAAAGTACCATGATTCTTAACAGTAAAAGAATCTTGAATTTAAGATAAAAATATCATGGCACGTAAAGAATTTCTTATCAAAACCACAACCAGTTATGAAAAAATTGACAGCATACTCAGATCATTAACATGGTCACAACTGCACACTAAGATTATGGTCAACATTTTAACACTTGATTTCATGTTTAATCCAATTGGATCAATAATGTACAGGTTTTTTGTCAACACTGATGTCTTGCAAAAGCTTTCCAAAAAAGCCATTTTGAAAAGAAATAAAATGCAATTTAAATAAAACTCAGGTCACTGAAGGAAAGAAACCATTTTTTTGACAAGTGCCTGTATGAGATTTCAAGTAGACAATTTCAGTCATACTTTCTAATTAATGTTAATAATAAAACATTTATAGAGATAAGTCTACTGTACTCGCCCTAATGCTCCTTTGCCTTTTAAGGACAGCTGTTCTGTTAACACTATCTCGTCTGTGCTGCTTCCATGTTGTGATCTGAGCATGATGAGCATCAATTTTCATATACAAACAAGGGATTCCGAACTGTCAATCAAAACAAAAAAGCCTATAATTGGAACTAGTCATGAAGGGTTTGCTTTGTCACTAAATGACATAGCAGTATTAAGATTTATTAAATGATTTAAAAGAATGTCTCAAGACTAGATCAATAGAGTCGTCTTTTTTCCAATGCAAAATTGCATAAATACAGTGTATTTAAATAGTATACCATGAAAAACATTTGTTTTATGGAAATTTGTAATCACTATTTTCAAGACAGCCAAATGAACATGAGCAAGATTTTTAGTAGATTTTTGAGAGTTTAGTTATTAACAGATCTATTTTTGTATGATTGCCAGTATACCAATCAGCACAATTAACTTGTCACTTGATCAACAGTGTAGTCCAAGTGGGGTGAGTCTACCCACTCTACTGCATTAGCAAATTGGCAAAAGCAATTTAAAATCTAATAGTTTTTACCTTTTAATTGATCAAATTCAAACACTTAGATCAATTGTAATTAGCTCAACGAACTGAATATGAAAAGGGATGTGCATTGAATTAATTTTTTTGGCTAATTATGGTATCTTATTAGATAATGTCATGTTATGAGGTTCTAAACCTTTAATATAATCTCTTACGCATTAAAAATCAATATTCTTTACCAACAGAAACGTATATTATGATTGAAAATGTCTATAAAGACAAAACTAGTTTTTGTAAAGAGTCTTGATTTTTAATGCCTAAAAGATTTTTCTTAAAGGTTTAGAACGTCGTATCACGAAATTTAACTAAATCTTTTGGCATCCTAGCAAAGGAAATATCAGTATATTCAATAATGAGAAATAAAATAATATGTTGAGAGGAAGAAATAGGTGATGGCTAACTAATGATCATGATATGACAATAAATTAAAAACATGCTGACAGCTGGTGTTTACCATCTTAAAAACATATGGTAATACATATATAGCTATTAGTACTTTGAGATCTGAAGGAACCATTTATACATTATTAATCAGAGGAAGGATAAAAAAAGTTGGGGGAAAAAAGAAACTTTTGAAATTTACTTTTTATAGCAGGGTTCTTAATAATGGTAGTTATAACAATATAGGAACCTTTACAAGGATGATGTTCAGGCTAAAGAAATTTACCAATATTACAAACAGAAGAAACTTGAAATAAAAATTAAAATGTTTACCAATTATTTCTCGTCAACTATCTTAAATATCATAATTATATGAACAGTTTCATGAACAGTTTTTTAAACCATTAAACCATTACAAACATTGAACTTCAAAAATGACATAAAACAGGACTGCATTATTTTCTATTGTTTTCAATGTGTACAGCTCATGTGGAGTTTGACATTTGACATGTGCTTTACTCTTTATGATAGTAGTATCCCGGGGGGGGGGGGGG